ATAAAACAATCATAAAAAAAAAAACAAAAACAAGGGGAAATGAGCCCTCACTGGTTTGTCTCAGTGGATAGAGCATTGGCCTCCAGACTGAAGGGTCCCAGGTTCAATTCTGGTCAAAGGCACATGCCCAGGTTGCGGGCTCAATCCCCAGTGTGGAGCATGCAGGAGGCAGCTGATCAATGATTCTCTCTTACTAGAAGCCCGTTGCATGAAGGTTCGCGCAATAGGCCTTCCTTTCCCTGGCTGCCGGCACCGATTTTCCTCCGGCACCCGGGACCCAGGCCTTTGGTCTGGCCGCAGCAGAGAAGCCAAGCCTCTTCAGTCTTCAGTGTCCAGTCTTCAGTCTTCAGTCTTCGCTTCGTGCCTATGTATGCAAATTAACCACCATCTTTGTTGGGTTAATTTGCCTAGTTGCTCTGATTGGCTGGTGGGTGTAGCGGAGTGATACCAATTTGCATGTTTCTCTTTTATTAGTGTAGATCATTGATGTTTCTATCTCTCTCTCCCTCTCCTTCCTCTCTAAAATCAATAAAAATATATTTTTATAAAAAAGGAAATGAGCCATCAAGCTGTGAAAAGACATGGAGGAAACTTAAAGCATATTTCTAAGAGAAAGAAGCCAATCTGAGAAGGCTACATACTGTGATTCCAACATATGACATTCAGAAAGGGTAAAACTGTGGAGACAGTATAAAAATCAGAGGTTGGAGAAGGGAAGAATGAATAAGCAGAGCACAGTGAATTTTTATGACAGTGAAACTATTCTGTATAATGCTATAATGGTGGATATGTTTTATTATACATTTGGCAATACCCATCAAATGTACAGCACCATAAATGAAATCTAAGGTGAACTATGGAGTCGGGTGATAATGATGTGTCAGTGTAGGTTCATCAATGATAACAAATGTACTCTTCTGCTTGGGGATGTTGACAGTGGGTTATGGTTGTGTGGAGACAGGGCGTAGATGGAAATTCCCTACTTTACACTTAATATTGCTGTGCACCTAAAACTGTTCTAAAATCTAAAGTCTATTAAAAAATATTAAACCACCAGAAACAAAATGAAACAAAAAAGTGAAGCCAAGCAGCTTTATTCATAATATCCCCAAACTGGAAAATATCCAATTGGTGAAAGGATAAACAGACTGCTTACGGCCCTTCAAGCAACCTGGTTTCTGATTAACCAAAGTCTCTCCCCAGATTAGACTGGCTGATCCTGCTGATCTCACACCTGGCCCCAGGCTCCTTTCCCTCCCAGCAGCAAGGCCTGGATCCTAAATAAAGACAGGCTGGCTTTTAGGTCAAGGTCAATTGGATTGGTATAATGGTCAGCTTAGTTGGATGCTGTGTCCTGTCCAGAGCTGGCTTCCTGGTCTCAGGCGTGGCCTTGGGACCCAAGTCACCCTCCCCAGCCCAGTCTGAATGGTGTTTGTGCTCTGAGGCTTGGTTGCCTTGATCCGTGTGCTGGCTCCTGGCTTCTCTGAGAGGAAGTCCTTTTCCTGTGTGTCCTAAAGATTCTCCCTTGCCTTCAAGCCAGTCTTTATTTTTCTTTACCTGGAACTTTCTATAACTGAGCTTCTAGAAGGCCTTCTAATCCTTCCTGGGTACCTACTGTGAGCCAAGTACTTAGCTAGATGCTGGGATCAGCCCTGCCCTCAAGTTAGTTGCTCATAGTTTAGTGGGACGGACAGACAACTAAATAGGCCATAATAAGTCATGGCTGTGATAAAAGGAATCATGGGGAGGGGAGGAAGAGTGAGATTCTTCTAGAATCTAGACCGTAGGATCCCAGCTGAGGAGGTCAGGGGAGATTCCTGCAGGGGGTGATGTTTGAGCCCCGACCTGAAAGGCAGACAGGAAGACATGCGGGGGAAGATGCACAGGCAGAAGGAATAACCTGTGAGGAAGCCTGAAACAGGAGGGTGAGCTTTGGGACCTGGGGGCAGGGAAACCCCACAGCTCCTTTTCCTCCTTTGGGCTGTGTTTGCCAGGACCATCCCTTCTATCTGGTGGTTGAGGCCCATCCTACCCCTGTTAGCTACGTAATATGAAATTTAGCAGCTTCATGCAGCAAACATTCATTATTTCAGACAGGTTCAGAGGTCAGGAATCAGCAGCTACCCTGGGACTCAGGGTCTCTCATGCGGTTGCAGTGAAGCTGTCTCCTGGGCCAGAGTCTTCGTAAAGTTTGACTCAGGTTAGGGAATCTGCTTCCAAGTTCATTCCCGTGCTTGCTGGTGAGCTTCAGTTTCTCACCTTGTGGCCTCTCCACAAGGAATGCTTATAATGTGGTCGCCGACTCCAAGGAGAAAAAGGGGGTGAGGGAAGGGGGCACCCGTATGGGAGGCAACCAATCAATGTTTCTCTCTCACATGGATGTTTCCCTCCCTTCCCCTCTCTCTAAAATCAACAAACATATCCTTGAGTGAGGATTAAAAAAAAGGAAGGGCCCAACCGATGTGGCTCAATGGTTAAGCATTGATCCAGGAACCAGGAGGTCATTCTTCAACCACATGCCCGGGGTTGCAGGCTCAATGCCCAGTAAGGGGAATGCAAGAGGAAGCCAATCAATGATTGTCTCCCATCATTGATGTTTCTATCTCTCCCTCTCCCTTCCTCTCTGAAAGAAAGAACACAGGCTTAGGTTGCTAACAAACCTAATTCCATCATTGGCCAAGATCCTTAAACTCTCTGAGCCCCACTTTCTTCATCTTTGAAAAGTGGTGCTCTGAAGACCCAATGAGATAATTCATACAAAGCATTTAGTGGAAATGGTTGTAAAATTGATAGTTTCTTTATTTATTTTTCCCCCTCTATGAATGGTACTGTTTTTGGTCTTGTCACTGCCATCTTCCTTCAAGATCCAACTCAATTCTACCTTTCCTTCAAATCTATCACAGTAATCAAGCCAACATCACCATCTCTGTTCCCTAACCTCCAATAACACTCTGAATCAGCTATTCATAAGTTAATACTTAATTACCTATCATCTTATATTACTTCCTATTTATTTTGGGTCAGTCCTGTCTTCATGGTTAGATTTTAACTGCCTTTTCCTAAGTGCCTCTAGTAAAGTCCAATAGAGCAGTTACTCAACAATTTCTTGGCAGTTGTTCAAGATACCAAATGTCCTTGGGAAGCTAGTGGCAAAGTCAACCCCCTGCTTTGAGTTCAAAAAACTTTCAGGAGGGGAAGAAAAGGGAAGGAGGAGAGAGCACTGCAGCTAAGTACAATACTGTCAGGGATCTCTGCAGTTAAAGTTCTTTCCATTACTATGATATTATTGGGTTTCCAAATTAATTGCTAAAACTGTAAGCACTGTATAGCTAGCAATTAGCAAGGAAGCTATCAAACCAGGTTGGGTTCATTTCTTTACACCAGTGTCAATTAATCTTACTTCTGCAGAGGAAAACAGGCTCGCGCCCTTTAAAACCCTGCTTACAATATACCAATTTAATATTAATCTGAAAATATAATGTAAACAGATAGCAGTGGTAATATTTTAAACACACACACACACACACACCCAAACCTACATTTTTTGCTGCAGTTGACAACATGTTTATCAAAGTGGAGACTATTTTGCAATAAGAGAAGAATGGTTCCATTAAAGCATCAGCTCTATGGAATCTAGTGGCTGGCTTCGAGGGCTATTTTAGGGCCTTCACGACATGTATAAATGTCTGTGTTGACAGCTCTAGCTTCCTGTTGCCAAATGTGAATAAAATTAGTCCTCACTTAAAAAAGGAATTCATTGTATAGAGAAAGTAGAATTTCAGAGTTGGTTTATTCGTGGATCCATGGCTTTTATAGAACATGCTGCTGCAGATGGGAGGGATTTCCAGCACACTGTGTATTGTTGGAAGTATTTGCAAAAGAATAACATTACAGCCCTCCTCTGGTAATGACCCTAAGCGGCAGGTCATTTTGTGGGTATCTGATGAAGCCAAGGAAGGGACTGTTCCCCAGCAAGATTCATAATCATAAATAAAAACACGTAAGTGCTCCATTGATTGCTTACAAGAGTCAATGGATCCTAGGTTAAGACACTCTAGGGTGAAGTTGACCAGGGAGTATGGAATTTTTAAGAGGCTAGGAAGTCAGTGATGGCCTGGAGGATATGGCTGTGTCTCACTGGCTCCCTAGAAGCCTGCTTGGAGTGCTCAGGTAATGCTTGATTGAATGATTAAATGGCTACAAACATGATTAGAGCAGATGTCTCCAACATCTTAACAGAGTAGGACAGGTCAGTGGCTTTAGGGAAGAACACCAGTGTAAGTGACAACCTCATACAGGGGTGGACAAAAGTAGGCTTACAAATTATGAATATATGAATCACAGTTTATTCTTGTATTATTAATTTATTCTCATATTATTAATTATTATTATTAACCTATTATTGCCCACCCCTGAATATAATCTCTTTTGTCCTATCTCATGTCTGTCCCTTTTTTTAGATACATTTTTATTGATTTCAGAGAAGAAGGGAGAGGAAGAGAGAGATAGAAACATCAATGATGAGAGAGAATCACTGATTGACTGCTTCCTGCATGCTCCCTACTGGGAATTGAGCCTGCACCCTGGGCATGTGCCCTTAACCAGAACTGAACCCAGGACCCTTTAGTCTGCAGACTGACTCTCTATCCACTGAGCCAAACCAGCTAAGGCTCATGTCTGTCCTTCTGATGAGCACAGTTGGCCTTGGTGAATGCAGCCAGAGAGGTCATGCCTGCACCTTGATCTCTGTTCCTATTTGCGGGGAGAGAATCTAGACATAGCGAGAGAGGCAAGGCTACTGTCCTCTGGCTGATCCTGGTTCTACTCTAAGAATCCCTGCCCTCAGGTGCTCGTCCTCCACGAGGGCCCACCTTGAGAGGCTCCCCTTTCCACATGGTACTTGGCTGCCTGCCTGCACCTTCCTTTTCTTCCTGGCAATATGCCCACATCCTTGCTGCTGTGATCTCAGGGGGCAACCTGATAAATGAATTTATACCAGCCACTCTGTAACAACTTAACTCTGTTACTCACAGGGATGGCTCTCTAAGAGTGCTAATTTGATGGGGGTGGGTAGGTGTTTGTAAATGGAGTAGCCTTGCCCAGGGTGGTGACATTCTTTCCTGCCAATGAGCATCACATGAGATCTTGGCACACAGGTCCAGGTTTGGGTCCTGGCTCCCCCACCCACCAGCTGTGGGATCTTGGCCAAGTCATGTTCATTTCGTTAAGCTTTAATTTCCTCTTCTCTAAGGTGAGGAAATGAGTCTTCCAGCCCTCACAGGGTGGTAGGAAAGAACAGGTGAGTGTGTAAATGTAAAAGAAACTGTTGGGCACTTGGCAAGTATTTTAATGAATATTATGCTGGGACTAGCCTTGTCAGGACTGGGGGTGGGGGTGGCAAAGGTTGGGGTGTTGTGGAAATGAATCCAAACAGTCCCATTGAAATTCTGGAAGCTAGGGGTCAGGTTTGGAGATAAATTTCAAAAATGATTGAACTCTGTGGGGTTCTCTTAAGCCCCAAGCTCTGCCTCCATTACCCCAGTGGGCTCCAAGACTTGCCAACCACACACCGGAGGCCACTCAGAGAATGCTTGAATGACACTTCCAGGCCTGGGCACCTCAAAAGCAGGCGTCCACTTGGCAACAGAGGGCAAGAAGTGAGAAGTGTGACCTATGCTTTGTTCCTTTACTTGTCTGAGAAGTGGCTGGGGGAAGCATGCACTCTGTGTCTTGGACATTTGTGAATGAACAGCGTCCATGTCAGGTCATGTTGGGTCAGCCCCGTTGGATGTATAGAACAGAGCAGTTTGAGGGAGGCCCTTGCCAACTTGATTAAAGATTAGAGACGGTGCAATCTCATGATAACTCTCTTCACTGCTTGTTGGATAGAGGCACCTTTTGAGACAGAGCACAGGGGGAGAAGCAAGGTGGAGTTCAGGATCAGACCTAGGGGGGTATTTAAGTGGAAATGTCCTTCCTGCAGGCAGCTGGTGATGCCACCAGGGGAGAGATATTTGGAAGCCACCAGCAAGGAGTGGGAGGTGGGAGCCATTGTCCTGAGCGCAGGAACTAAGGTGTATGCGGTCTATAGAGTGATCAACCAAAGAACATGCATGCGTATATGCATAACCCATAGGCAGGCCAGAAGGGGCCAATGGGGGAGGAGGGGCAGAAAGGGGACATGTGTGATATGTGTGCTGCTTTCAACAATAAAGATTTAATTTTAAAAACAGTAATAAAAGTGGACTAAAAGTCAGTGAACTTTTTATTAACATGAATGATTCTAAATAATGCCAGGGAGAACATTTTTCTTTCCACAGGGGCAGATGGCTCCTGCTACCCCAGCGCTGGTTCCCTTGCTTTTGTTCACTCCTTACTTGGAGAATGACTTCCTGAACGGCACACCACTCTCCGAATGGGCTCTGACCAAGAGCTGGGCCTCTGTTTGCCTGAGATGATTAAACAGAATTGCAACGTGGTGACTTTAGCAAAAAGGAAGACAAGAGCTTCTAGAGATGGAGGGAGATTCCTGCACTGGGACCAGCCATGCCTGAGGCTTTCCCTGAAATGATTATTTATAGGAGCTAATGAATTCCCTTTTGCATCTAGTTTGATTTGGGCTTTTGTCACCTGCCACCGAAAGATTCCAGTTATAATATCCCATGAATAGTTACAGGCACAGGAAACTCCACAGGCATTTGGTTGTACACAAGGTGCTCTGATTTTCACCTCGTGGCTGGGCTAGAGGCTGTGGTTTCTAGGTTTTTTCCTGACTTTGGTGATCCTTGTCATCACTAAGCAAACAAACACACTGGCAAGTCACAGAGACACCTTTCTGTACACACCAGAACTCAATAGGAAGTTGCTTGGACCCAATCCAAGGCAATTATTTACAGAAGTCCTCAAAGAACGTAATTACAGGGCCACAGTGCAGGGACCCGTACCATGAGCACAACTCCCGAGTGCCCCTTTCATCTCATGGCACACAGAAACTAATTACTAACATTCTGCAGCTGATCTGAGTCATTCATACCAGGCGGCTATTGTTGTGTTGTCTCCTCATTTTTTATTTTTTACAGATTTATTATTTATTTTTGTTGTTGTACAATTATTTTAATGAAGTGAAACAGTAAGTGAAAAGTACAAAACACACAGCTGACTCCTTCCCCGTAGTGAAGTATCAAAGGTTTGCATGGCCCCTGTTTAGGGCCGCAGTAAAGGAGCCTGCAGACCAGGCTAGGGCCGGCCGGATCACATCGGATCATCCTGTGAGAGAACAAAGGAAGGAAACGAGGGATCAGAACCTTCTAGGACAGCGATTCTCAACTTTGGCTGCACAATAGAATCACCTGGGAATCTTTAAAATCCTGATTTCTGGGCCTCATCCTCCGGAAATTCTGTTTCTTTGTTACTAATGTTGTGGCCCCACCTCATAACAAAGAGAAAGAATTTCCGGAGGATGAGGCCCAGAAATCAGGATTTTAAAAAGATTCCCAGGTGATTCTATTGTGCAGCCAAGGTTGGGAACCGCTGTTCTAGGAAACCTGGACTCCTAAGAACATGGCAAAGGTTATGCTCAACACAGCGGAGCGGTGGGGTAGCCGGGTCGCTCCCACCCACCTAAGATCAACAAGAAAAGGCAGCTTCTCAGGCCGGAAGCTGTTCCTGATTTCTGGGCCTCATCCTCCGGAAATTCTGTTTCTTTGTTACTAATGTTGTGGCCCCACCTCATAACAAAGAGAAAGAATTTCCGGAGGATGAGGCCCAGAAGTCAGGATTTTAAAAAGATTCCCAGGTGATTCTAATGTGCAGCCAAGGTTGAGAACCGCTGCTCTAGGAAACCTGGACTCCTAAGAACACGGCAAAGGTTATGCTCAACACAGCGGAGCGGGTCAGGTAGCTGGGTCGCTCCCAACCACCTAAGATCAACAAGAAAAGGCAGCTTCTCAGGCCGGAAGCTGTTCGGAGCATGAACAAACGGTGTTCGCCCCGCAATGGGTCGCCGAACGCGTCTGTTTCTCCAAAGTCTCGCGGGGCCGCAGGGACTTCCCGTGGACGTGGACGAGCGGTGCCCCTCCGGCGGCGGGGAAGCCTTCCACGGAGACCTGCACGGCCGAGACCTGTGTGACTTCGACCTCGTGGCGGCTGTCCCGGTCCAGAAGCAGGTGTCTCTGGTTATTGGAAAGACGACAAACCATCGTTTCTGAGTTTGCAAAACTTACGAGGATGACTCCGCTGGCTGAGCACACGCGGAGCTGCGGAGCTGCTTGTAGGAGATCGCGGCCTCCTTGCGCGACACGCACGGCCACGGAGTCCAGGAAGCACGTGTCTCTGTCATTTTATCTGACAGTTTTTGACAATTTAAGGGGAAAGAGGTCAGTGCCCCTGACTACATAGTCAGATTATTGCATGTTTTCTTTTTGTGTTTTTGTTGTCGTTAATCCTCACCTGAGGATATTTTTCCATTGGATTTTAGAGGGGAAGGGAGAGGGAGAGACAGACAAACATCGATGTGAGAGAAACACACTGATTGGTTGCCTCCGGCATGCACCCCGACCAGAGCCGGGGATCCCACCTGCACCCTTCAGTCCGTGGGGGTGATGCTGTACCCACTGAGCCACACTGGCTAGGGCCTCATATTGTATCTTTTAAAAATCCTTGCGGCACACCGGTGTGCTTCCTGCTGCACTCCAGATGAACATTGCTGCTCTAGGGTATTCCATAACAAAGTCACTGAATGAGTGGAACTTGCACTTAGGATAAAAAAAAAAAAAAGTTCCACTGCATTGCTTAGTATGAGGAGGCCTGAATCAATAGCATTTCACTTGAAAAATTAGAGCATGCTGTAGATTAAATGTTTTGTCCCCTTAAAATGCCTGTGTTAAATCCTCGTGCCCAAGGTGATAGTATCTGAAGATGGAGCCTTTGGGAGAGTGATTAGGTCATGAGAGTGAAGCCTCCATGAGTAGAATTTGTGCGTTTATTAAAGGCACAGCAGAAAGCTCCCTCAATCCTTCTGACATGTGAGGACACAGCAAGAAGACAGTCATGAATGAACCAGGAAGTGGGCCTTCACCAGACACTGAATCGGCTGGTGCCTCAATCTTGGATTTCCCAATCTCCAGAACTGTGAGAAATAAATGTTTGCTGTTTGAGCCACCCAGTGCGTGACATTTATGTTACAGCAGCCTGAATGGACTAGGACAGAGCAGAAAGAAGAATCCAAAGGCTTGGATTACAGTCCTGCCTCATATGTGAATCTGAGCATGTCACTTTACTCTTTGGTTATAGTTGTCTCACACACAAAATGAATAGGTTTAAATAAATTTTGTCTACCACCTTACTGTTTTACATCCTATTGCATTTATATTCATTGTGATACTTTGTAGTAGATGCTCAATAAATATTTCATGATTGACTCTGACAGGGATGAACTGATGAGGATCAGTCAGTTAGTCCCTTTACCAACTTTTTGGTAACAAGTTTACCAGAGTTGTTTCCACTGCTTCTTCTTTGCTATCTCCATCATGAGCTCACATTGCTTTTTCAATCCATGCTTTAAATGTTCGAGTTTCCAAAGCTTCTGCTTCATACTCTCCTCTCACCTTTATATTTCTGTACAAATTCATTATCAGCTATTTGCTAATAATACCTAAATCTGAATTTCTAACTCAGATGCCCTTCCCAAGTTTTTAACCTACATGTCCAACATCTAGTATGCATACCTACCTGGATAATTCATCTCATTCAACCCCTCAAATCTGCTCATCTTCCTGTGTTTTTCCTTATATGATCTATCCCATACCTCTCTGACCTCACCACATATCGCCTTTCCCCTTTCCTTGTCCACTCTATCTCTACTGGCCTCCTTGCTGCCCCTAAAATGTGCCAAACATACCCCTACTTCACATACTTTGTAATGTGCTTCTTTTTTCCTGGAATACTTTTACCCTAATATCCATGTCTCATTCTTCAACTTATTCAAATAATTCCCTTAAGGAGATCTTTCTGAC